TTGCTGAATAATTTCCTAAAACGTATCATAAATAATCCAATAGGGAACAGATTTTTATTTTGATTTAATATCAAAATTTCATCGATGTTACCACCAGCACGCTTTCTTTCAAATGAAAATATGGCTGTCAAACTATCGAATTGCCTGCAATATATATCAAGCAATAAGCGCTGACATATATTGCAGCACATGAGAAATAGGCGGTCTCCATTGGAAATATATTTTGTGACATGGTTATCACGACATCAGTGTTTTCCTGTGGAGAGCCTGCAGTGCGCGGTGATTGGTGGCAAAAACACGTACAAAATAATAATTTGGTTAGCACAAACATGTGCTGCAAAATTCCTTGCATTTTTCCTTTATAGCCCGAACACAATGAAAACGACGAGCTACAAACCACAGCATGCTTCGTCTTCATATTCTTTGTTTATTTTTTAAAGAAAATAACATGGCGCCGAAATTACAAACGTCAGCCTGAAAATTACTTTTTTATTTCGCTTAATCTTGTCAGATCTTGTGTAGTTGGATCATCATACACACCTACTCCAACGTCTTTTCCGATAACGCATGTGGGATGCCAACTATCTATAACTTTTACTTGATCAATGCGGTGTTATCAATGCAGTAAATTTTGAAAGATAACGCTCGGTCACGAGGGTCGTGGTTCGGCCACTGATCTCTTTATTGATTGGCATTTACCATGATTCAATAATACAAGGTTAGATAATTATTGACAGCTGCGGTTTGACTCTCCCTTACAAAGGTTGCATTTACGAAGGACGGAGAAAGGGGAAGAATGAAATCTCTTGGTGCGAAAATGGTAGTAGAAAAGTACGCAAAGTAGGCAATTAGTAGTGAAATTCCTTTTGTAAATTCTAATGTATTTGCAGGAAATCTGGCATTTTAAACGAAATGTTGCACGTAATATTGATATATCTACGTGAACTACGTAATTTATGTGCTATTTAGCTGTATAAGAACTGCAAAGTTACTCAAAATTAAATTAAGACTAATATGAGATTGATGTTAAAGCCCTGTATGCAGCTCTCAAGAAAACGGTCAAGAAAAAATTGTCATTATTTCGTGTGTGCGCCCAAGGAATTTTAACATTTTTGATACTTCACAGCCTGTTGCCTCACTCTTTCCTCCAGAAATAATGGAACGGGCATATATTTCTGTTGCAAACCTGGGTTGCCCTGTGCTCTTTTTTCACAAAAAAACTTTAGAAACCCGTAGTAGAAAGCGTAGTAAATTTCTTAAGAACTGTGTACTGCCTTAAGGAAATTTGACTCAAGAAAATTTCTTAGCCATTTCTTGTACGTCATTTTATATGGAGTTTTTGCCCTTCTTGAGAGCTGCATACAGGCCTTAACATCCAACGCTTATGTTTTCATCAGTTAAACATGCTTCATATGCATATACAAATAAACATATTGCACATAAGCTTATACTTTTATTTCAAA